CGTTTTTATCTTCTTTTTTTTTTTTTTATCTTTCACTAGGGCTTTTATTTTTCCACTAGAAATGTTTATTTCTCTCTTTTTCTCTCTCTCTCTCTCTCTCTCTCTCTCTCTCTCTCACACACTCTTATTCTATCTTTATTTATCTATTTCTCTTTTCTGTCGCGAGTTTAAGAACGGATGAAGCTCGATTGCAATACCAGCAGCCAGACAACCAGCCAACCATCCAACCAACCAACCAACCAACCAACCAACCAACCGTCTTCTCCGCACGTGTCACGAAACTAGAAAATAAACTCTCGGTGATGCGATCCTAAGAGGCAAAACCTCGAAGAGGAAAGCGCTTTAGAAACAGTGCGTCGCATACACGAAACACGGTTTATATTTGGAAGCAGTCGGGAACTGGGCAGGGTACCTCGATAAAAATTAACTGCCAACCAGTTCAACGTACTTAAAAACGATTATATTTACTTGCTTGCTTTTATTATTATTATTATTATTATTATTATTAATTAGGGTTTGATATTTTGAATTGACATTTTTGTCAAATTTTTTTTTGGAATAATCGATCGAATATTTCAAATGTGAATATATATGTATTATATAATAAATATATATATATATATATATCGTTTCTAGAAATAACAATTAAAAAAACATAGTATATTATATTATAAAAGGACAAAATCCTTGAATACAATAAGGAAGAAGAAGAAATAAATATGTATGTATATATATATTTAATTATGATTAAGTTTAGTGAATTTGTTTTATTTTTTGTTTTATTTTTTGTTTTATTTTATTTGTTACAAAAGAAGGAGGAGGTGGAGGGTTAATAATTTAATTGAGAATGGAAGTTACGTTTATATTGTTTTCCATACGTTTTTTTCTATTGTGCATAATGCACAGTATATTTAGAAATAATTATAAATATTATTTACGTATATAGGAATGTCAAAAATTTAATAAAATAATTAATATTGCGTTATAATAATTGATTTTTCTAAATAATTTATTAACACGACAATTCGAGTCCCTCGAATTTGATTATAAGAATTTTATAATCTTAAGGAACCATTTCTTAAACAACAATTTGAACGTATAAATTTATACAAATGTTTGAATACAAACAAAATTCATTTGGATAAAAATAATGAAACTTTTCGTTAAAATATCCTAAAATTATTAAATTTCATTACAGATTTTCTCAATATTTGTGATTACTTATTATAATAATCGTAATATTACGTATCAACTTGATTGAAATAATTCATATATATATATATGAAAGTATGTTAGAATCGATTTCAAAGTTCCGATTAAAC